GGGTGCGCGCGCGCGCGCGGCAGCGGCTTCACTTCTCTCCGGGCAGCGGGGGCAGGAGCGGCGGCGGTGGGAGAGGCAGCGGCCGCCGCTGCTGCTCGGCAGAGACGGCAAAGGGGRGAGGAAGCCGAGAGCCAGGAGCGCGGGGGAGCGGGCTCATGACTCAGTGAGTGGCTGCAGCCCCTTGCCAGCCCCGCGCCCGGCCGGAGTCSGGGCGACCGCGACGGATTGTCCCGCAGCCCGTGCCCGGCACCAGCGAGAGAGAGACCTGCGCTCGCCTGCAGGTAGCAGCGGCTTTCCCCCCGTCCCTCCCGGGGTACACCTACCTCTGCCCCGGCTGAGCTCCCCGTCTGCCTCCCCTCCCCCCGCCGGGCTCCTACTCCCCCGTCGCTCGCCATGCCTCCCCCACGGTAGAACCCTCTCCCCCACGATTATCTGCGACCCTCGGTCTCTATCTTTATCCTTCATCTTCCCTCCCCTCTCCGCATCCCCCTGGCGCTGCCTGGTACCCCCTTCCCCCCCTTGTCATCCTCGCCCGTGCCCTTTCTTAGCAACCGTCCGGGCCGCCCCCCCGCCGCCCCCGGCCACCTCGGCATCTCTGCCGACGCTCCCCGCTCCCCCAGGCTCCGTCCAGCCTCCATTGCTCCTCAGCACCCCCACACCCTTTCAGCAACTCTTCCGTGTCCATTTGTCCTGCTCGCCCTGGTCGGGCGGGAGCAGCGTCCACCCCCGCTCCCCCACCCCTCTGGCCCTGCTCCGCATGGTCCCCGCGGCTCTCGCTGTGCCCCTGGGTCGCTCAAGCACCGGGGTACCCCCTGCCCCCCACCACCATCGAGCTCCCCGGGATGCGCTATCCTTCCCCCCCCCGCCGCAGCGGTGGGCACGCCGGGCTGGAGCCCGTCGGGAAGGGCACTACCCCCCCGGAGCGCCCCGAGGAGCCCCGCAGCCCTTCCCTCATGTGCCCCCGACGTTTTCTTTTCGCAGTCTCTCCTCCTCTCCTCGGTTGTCTCCTACTTCTCGCCCTGGCCCGGCCGCCGCCCGGCCGGCCGTGGGAGTGCGGGGTGTGTGCTGTTCTGGGGATGCTCAGGGCCCCCACCCGCTCCCGTACGGCGGGGCTTCCCGACGGGAGATTCTCGCGTGTGCCCACCCGGGGCCGTCCTGCCCCGTCCCATCCCCCCGGGTGCCCCTCTCAGTGGCTGACCCTCCCCGGCAACAAACGAGGCTCTTTCTGCCTCCTGTCCTGCGATGTTGTGGTCGTTTTGCCCTTTATGGTTTCTAATGAAGATGAAGTAAGGCGGCTGCTGCCGTTGCTGCTCGTAGTGGACCCTGCAGAAATACTCAATTTATCTTGGCTTATAGGAAATTACGACCGCTTTAGAAAGACATCATCACTAGCTCTGCCGCCCTTGGGACCCATCTGCACATTGCCAGGATCTTGCTGTCCCTGACTGGTGTATTTTTTTTTTTTTTTTTTTTTTTTTTTTTTTTTTTTTGTTTTTGTAATTGTTGTTGCGGTTTTGTTTTTTTATTTTGTTTTTATTTTGAGGCGGAAGGGGAAGGAAGGTGCCAGTGACTATATTTGACAAAAGCAAAAACATTTTGGACACTCTTCACTTTGAATTGATAGTTGTAGTTACACTTGTAATCTGTCTCAGAGCTGATTCATCTCACGTTAAGGGAGAGACTTTTAAGTCCCCCTTCACTCCTTCCTCTGTCCCCTCTGCTCATTTTTCTCTGCACAACAGCAGGGAGGTTAGCAACCCTCGTCTGAATGTAGAACAGCCTGGCTGCCAGAACCTGGACATCGTGTGTCTTCCCTCTTGCYCTGTGTGACAGTTGCAAACACACTTATGGCTCTTTGGATTCAAGGAGTACCTTGTATTTCTGTCAGTAACGTTAGAGCCAGTAAAATATTTTCTTCACAATGTTATCCTCTCAGTTGATTTCTTTTTCCCCATTCTCTTACTTGTTTGTATGTCTTTGAAGTTTGACCCTGTTTGACATGTCTTAGTTTCAATCCCCTTAAAATGTGCTTTTTATCGCAATATTGAACATCCYTTGAACAAAACTTCCTAAAATTGCAGATATTGTGAGGAGAGGGAATAGAAGGCYGGGATGTCAGAAAGGGGGGCAGGGAGAAAAGGAGAAAGGGGAAAAAATTAAAACAACACCCCCCCCCCCGCCCCAAAGAAACTAGCCAGACATCAAATGATAGATTTAAGCATTTTCTTCTTGTAAATGCTGGCATTACACGTTACAGTAATTATATGCTCTGGGCTACTGTTACAGTATTTGTCTGCTGGATCGTAACCTGAACTTCTAAAGTGAATACAGTTGTTTTTTGGATAATAGTAATATTTATAGCTAAGATTATTCATAGCAGATGKCCTATGCATATAAGCATTATTAAATATGCTTTTAGCTTTCTGGCTTGCTKTGTTAAAACCTATGTACATTGTGAAGAGAGAATTTTTTCTCTTTAAAATTAGATGTATTAAGCAAAGTTCAGAAGTAAAATCTATGGCAAATAAAGGCCAACAAAAGTGTTATAGAAAGAGATGAGGCTGTATTTTAACTTTATGTAGAATCAAAGAAAATGGGTGCTTACTATCAAAATTGCATTACAGTTATTAAACACATATTTTGACTTGTCAGAATGTGATACTTTTGTTGTTTATTACCTCTAAGTGTTCTGCTGCTTTTACCTTGAAATTGACAAGCAGAATTTAAATACCTGAAAATCAACCTGGGTAAATTTACAAACTATGCTAARTATATTGCTGTAGCTGTACCAGAGGAGAAATTGTTCTCTAAGAATGGACAATTGCTGTATTTTAATTTTAGGGCAGAAACTGTGCATTATTTCAGTTACACAGCACCTAATCTGCTCATTAAAGTATTTATATATATTTATATATGGAAATATTTTTTGCTGTTATAAAATAAAAATGCAGCTTAAAGTGATTAAGGGAAACTGTAGTCAAATCTACCACATGGTATTGCTTGCTATTTCTTTTAATGTCTAAACATTTTGAGGGGATGCCGTACTTCCAGAATGCTATTTCAGTATGCTTCACAAATTTGACAAAAGAGGCCTAATTTCTCCTGAAGTTAGTTGCATGTGTCAATAATGCCTGAAGAGATTATTYCTTCTACTCCATAGTGTGTCTTATTTGATAGAAGTAGATTTTGGTAGGGGTTTTTCAGTATAGGAGTAAATATATTTTTACTCTGTAACTGGAACACTTACGCCTTTTTAAAAAGCATCCTTTTCAACATAACCCTGTTGGCATTGATATTAATTTACTTTTCCTTTGCTGTCTCTTTCCATAAATATGTACAGGGAGATGAACTTTGTTTAATCCACAGAATGAGCATGGTTGAATCTGAGCCTGAAATCTCATTATTCTCCCTTGAGCGAGTCTTAGAACATGTAATAGTCAAGGTGAATAGTTTTGTTCTTAATTTTGATGATGTCTGTACATAGGTAAGAGGAAAAGCGAGTCAAAGTTCACAGCAATTTAAAACTGTGTATGAAAGAGCAAATTCTTGATTCAGACAGATTTGATCAGAAAACCACTCAGATATATGGGGATTGCGGGGGTGTAAGCAAGTAATGTTTGGGCCTGTGTGGTTTTTATTAAAAATCTCTAGAGGAACATATATAACATAGGTATATAAACCTATGGAGTTAAAGGAARAACCTGGGTTTCARTTTGGTTTTGTTTTGATTTGGTTTGGGTTTTGTTGGTTTGGGTTTTTATTGTTTTTTAAAATCAGTCAGTGCCACCACTTATGCTAATTCAGTAGGAGTTTTTCATGGACATCTGCCCTTTATTAGAACAGTTTGAGAGTTTGAGAAGTCATGACAGCTGTAACAGTGGGCTTGTAATTCTTCATCTGTCGGCATATTGTTATRCTATTTAAAATGAAGGAAGAAATTAAAATAGCTAACTAGTATCAGAAGTGTGTGAATAAAGCATTAACTTGACTTCTGAAATATATTGAGATTTCTTGCTGCTTGTGTTCTCTGACAGGTTTGTTGCCTGAATGAAATGTCAGGAAAAACTTCCATATTTCCTCTCCAGCACACTTACTGTTTTAATAAATACAAACAGTCCTGTGTTAGAGCTTTGTAGTCTGTGTTTCCATCAAGTATGCCAAGATGTGGATWTTGTAATGTGGAAACCCACATTGTAGACTTGGGATGAGCCCTCAGATTTATTTCATATGGGGCAACAGAGAGTCCTAAGATAGTAGTAACTCTCAGTTTTTAACAAACTATGGTAGATTTGATCTGGTAACATAGTGATGGGACTCGTGGTATTGATGAGTGGTCAAAAAATGAAATTCACAGTGAATAATTTTATACTTTCAGGATTACATTTCCCACTTAACTTCAATAACTTCTGGTTTTCATATATATATATGAGGGTTTTGTAAGGGTGTTGGTTGGTTTGGTTTTTTTTTTCTTTTTTGGTGTTTTGCTTGTGGGTTGGTTGGTTTTTTTGGGGCTGGGGGTGGTATAGGTTTTAAAATTGCCATCTCCTGAATTATTGTTAAGATGCTTGTGGCAAAACTCTTCAGTACAAGGATTATTTAACTACTGTGACATTAGCATTAAGACAAAGACATAAAACCCATGTGTTCTTTCCTTAAAGCACAGGGATTTTTTGTAAGAAATACAATTGGGCAGTTTCTTCTCAAAAAGCTAACTTTACTTGTTTGTCTTTGTTCAGTGCAGCATCTGCCATGTCTACAGAGGGGCAGAGAGTGGATGATAGTCCAAGCACTAGTGGAGGCAGCTCTGATGGAGATCAGCGTGAAGGTGTTCAGCAGGAACAAGAAAGGGAGCAAGTTCAACCCAAGAAAAAAGAGGGCAAAATATCAAGCAAAACAGCTGCTAAATTGTCAACTAGTGCTAAAAGGTACAGTGTTTTTTCCTGGTTGTTTGTTTTCCTTTCTCTTCTTTCAGCTGACTATCAGATGCATGTATTCACTCAGTATATTAATTTTCTGATTGTTTTATTATAACACTGCCACATCAGTTTAATGGCCTTTTGAGACCGGTCACAATAATGAGGCCTGTATACTTTTTCCTTTCTTTGTCAKTTTGCCTTTTCACATGGTTTTAATAGTTGCTTGCATGATAAAAGCTGACATTTTTTTATTGCTAATAAAACTCAGACAGTTTTGTAGCCTTATAAAATATATCTCTGTGTATGTATGACTGATGTTGAAACTTGTCAGTGTAACTTACAGTTAATTAACCATAAACATTTCAGACAGTTCAGTAACTCAGCATGTTAGGGCTACTGTAATACCTRTTGCGGTGAAGTACTGCTTTTTCTCTTCCCAGATGGTCAGGTCAGAAATACTTGAGTGAACAACAAATGCCTGTTGGTTTCATTACTTTAAAATGTGATCTGTTTTAATACCCATTTCTTTTCCTTCCTTTTTCTGCTTGAGATGAAAGGTTGGTTTGTAGAACAGCTATTTAAATTATTCTATGCTATCATGTCCATCTCCAGATAACGATTGTCTTGCTCAGACCAGACAGAAGGAATTTACAGCTTAGTGTTACTTTGCTGGTACACATAGTGGGGTTAGCCTGGGCAAATGGGATTATGGTGATTCAAGTTAAAAAGCACTCATAAAATAATCTGACAAGAGACAATTCTGCACACTGTCCTGATGCAGAACTCCCAGATTTTGTTTCTTTGCTAATCCAAGGCTGTGTAAACTGTAAGAGAAAACACTGGAGTCGTACTCCTGGGGTAAAGGARAAGCATTGAGCCCCTACTGCCATRATTTRTAACGTGTGCATGCAGTCAGAGTCCGTAAATAGCAGTATATAAATGTGTATACATCTCTTCAGGATTCAAGTCTTTGTTTTGCCTTAATCTGTCTCTTACCAATTACATTAGTTCAGAAAAAGATCTGTCTTTCCAGTGAGATACTATCATGCTTTCCTTCTGCTATAGATAGCTTCGTTACAACTAGTTTTTTATTTTTCATTCCCTGGAGAAATACTTTCTGGACACCCGTTCTTCCTCTGACACTATTAGGAGATTAACTGATCATATTGCTAGAATGGTCAGAAAATGGCCAGTAAAACTGGCCAGAATGGCCAGTAAAACTTCCCTGTGTTTCCTTTGATGACAAAAAAGGAAAAAAGCCCAACCTAGCTTTCGCTACAAATCGTGGTGTTATTCATGTAGTTAATCCTCACAGCCAGTATGGTTTCTGGTGTTCTYCTCTTTTCGTCTGTTTCCTGCTATTATTATTTTTTTTAATATTAGGAATATTGGATTAGTCATGACTTTTAAGGTTGTAAAAAGAGTTTCCAGCATCTTTAGAAACAATCTGTGTATTCTGAACTTTGTACAATGCCTGGTGTAATGATCCTACAATTCTGACAAGAGCCTGTGGACACTATCCTATTAAAAAATTAATAATGGTATGTCAGAAATTGGTCTATTAATCTTAGCTTTGTATCTTCAAAGCTTAGAGCTTTTATCAACAAGCATTTTACAGCGATAAAATTACTTAAACCTTTTAAAGTTTAATCATATCTGCTTATGGTTCTGCTGAAACTAATTATGCCATCAGTTGCTGACATCGGTACATTTGCCAGTTAGACTCTAAAGCCAGTTTCACATGTGTAGTAATATTGATTGTACATTTTAGAAATATACATTTGATTATATGTTTTAAAAACTGACATGATTTACAACCGTTCTGTAGGTATGTGTACAGTATTTTTGAAAATATGTATTTTAGGAGTGCTGGTTGTCATAGCACACTCTGGAAGGATTACTGAAACAGTTTTTATAGTAACAGGGTTTTTTATTAATATCGTGAGATTTTTTGTTTTTAAGTATTCAGGAGTTTGTCATTGTGTTAGAATTGGGAATGTACCTCCTCTAATCTGGCCACGTTTTCATATTACGGGTTTTGTTTCTTTGCTTTTTAATTAAAATCAGTAYTGTCTCAAGAAAAGTAAATCAGAAATTAAAGTAGAGGCTAAAAAGGAGTAGCATGAAGGAAGGAAAAATGTCTTAGACTCCTCAATGTGTAGTAAGTATTACAGAAGCTGTAAAAAATATCTTCATAGTAATATTGTTATTTTAGCTCATTAGAAATGAGAAATAGTGCAGGATTAATAAGCCTTAACTTTGGTACCTTTATTATAGTGAAAGGAGTTARCTGCTAAAATCTGTCAAATGCTCAAACAACAGAGTGTAATGCAGTTGTGGCTTTGGCCAAGATTCCTTAATTCCTGTTAAAAGCATCGAACATCAGGAGGTTCGCTGGAGCTAAAGTCACAGGCTACAGACTAGATTCTAACCTGAGTTTGGAAATCAGATTTTCTCACTTGGAAAGTTTTTTCATACCTATGGAATTGTAGTCAATTGTAGTCAATGTTAATTGCATTGTGATAGCTACTGTGTACGTTGGTATAGAATGAAGGTTTTCTGCATCTCTATTTGGAAGGCTCCTGTTTTGATTTTCATTTGTATGTTCATGTCATCAGTTAGATTTAAAGAACTTTCAGTGGCATGAGGTTTTCTATAAATCAAGATTTAGCAGTTTGCTGACTTTTGCTTGTGTAACAGTAAACTACTCCTGTGTCTTATATGTGAATATACTATTCATGCAGCTTATCTGCTTTCCGAAGTGATCTGATTACAGAGGTTATATGAAACCACTTAAATTTTTATTTGAGTAAGATTTTTGGTATTCAGATACGGAGTTTCTTCGGTTAGCATTGGTGTGGATGGCATCAAGAAGGCAGAATGCCATCACACGCTGTCCTTCTCAGTTAATGCTCTAGGACTGGCTGCTGTACAGGTGTAATAGCTTACAGCATATGTCGTGCAGTGTACCGGTCCTTCAATTTTCCTCACCCAGAGGGCATCACCTTAAATAGCAACCTTTCTTACCCAACATGTCAAGATTGAGAAACTCACTGCATATCACAATTACAGTTCAGACACGGAATTGAATTGCTGTCCTTGAAAACAGCAGGCATCTTGTTACCTCTTAAGTAGCRAATCTTAGCATGACCTTTGGATTGAGAGAAGTGTAACCATTCTTGGCTGACATAGTAGCTCGACAAATAAATACATTGTTTTGCTTGGCTCCTGAAGTTGCTGGTTGAACATCTGTCAACCTTYGTGTCCAGTCCTGACATTTTTTAATAAATATCTGTGCCTGCAATGAATCGTGAACTGTACAACTTTAGTTGTAATCTTTTTATTATTCAAAAAAGTTGCAGCCTTGAGGAGCAAATAAGTGATAATTTAAATTGGATCGAGATTAAGCAAAGTAAACCTGAGCGGTTTTCCCTACCCCCCCCTCCACCCTTTTTTTTTTTTTTTTTTTTTTTTTTTTTTTTTTTTTTTTTTCTTTTTTCTTTTTTTTTTTTTTTTTTCCAGCTGGTTTATCACAGCACTACTTTTAAGGAATCTTGAAATTATATTTAGTGTGTTGAATATGGCGGAAAAATATGGAGTGTTTTTTCTTTTTTTAAAAGAAGTATCCTTGTCTTTATCCATCATTTAACAGTAGGTGAGAATATTTCTTCTCCCCCAGTATAAATTTAGCCACCTTCAGATCAATTTCCTGCTCAGTCACAATTTATTTGGTATTGAAATATATACCAGTGATTGCGTTTTTAAGTATTTTCTAAGTAGTATGTTCTTCACTATAGGGTATTGATTCTTCTAGCTTTTATGGATAGAAAGGCATGTAGTTTAGAAAAGTGGATGTGGTAAAAATAGCTTAAGATGTCATATAGTCCTTTATTTTATTTCTTTTCCTATAAATAATGTTGGGAAATCCTCTAACATCTTCACTTCTCTGTTAGCTTTAGAGAACTTTTAACTGTTGCAYGGAGGAAAGGCTTGGTACAGTAGCAAATATGTGTCTGTGAGAATTAATAACATTTGAAATCCACAGTGTACTTTAATGTTTCTGAATTTACGAGTAGATTAACCTTTGCGCTATTACTGGGAGGCAACTGTGTTTGTTCTTTTTTGTTAGTAAAATGGAGGGGAAAAATATTTATTTATGTGTATGTATRTATATATTTGAGAGAGAAGAGTCAGATGATTTCTCAAAGACCAAACAAAGAGTATCAGATCTGACACTGCAAATTAAATGCCTGTATGTGCAGCCCAGGGCATTGATTGCTAGCAAGGGCCTCACCCCCTGCCATCACCCCATTGCCCAGTGTGTAGTAAACCATAATGTCATTAGTTGAAATATAAACTGGATATATATATATATATATATATATATATATATATAATGGTTTTAATTTAGAGGGTTTTTCCTCTTTGACATAGCTAAACATAGCTGTTACTGAGGCAGAAAATCCAAAGAAACAGATGCCAGAAAGGACCCTGAGAAAAATGTTTTGTTGCCAGAGGCCGCATATTCTCGCGGTGAATCCTCTGTGGTCAGCAGAGGAAATGAGGCTCGTCCTCTCCTGTGGCAGATTSTGAGGGCAGCTCGATGGAGATGTGCAGCGAGTGCCAGAGCATGTGCAGACAAAGGCCAGCTTGCACACTGGAGGTCTCTATCAGTGCAAGGCTCTCTGGGATTCTGTCCGATGATTTAATTGTAACGTTGAATGCTGTGACATGTGAACAAGCAATTGCGTGTCAGCTGTTCTACAGAAACTGTTTATGAATGAGCTCTCAGCATGAATGCGAGGTAAATTAAGGTTGCAACAAAAGAAATGTAAGGTGTATAAATTAATTTTAGTTTGGGACACCGCAGAGTAGGAAAAAAAACCATGGACAGCTTGCTGAGGAGCAATTGATAGACAGTACTGCATTATAAGTTTACCTTGTTTGTATAAAAATAATCATGAATGAATATCTCTCTATCTTAGATRTTTGCAAGAGCAGTCATGTCTTTTAAACATTGTTAGGCAGTGCCATCTGATAAATTTTTATGTCTTGAAGCAGAAAGGTGGTTTGTCCATGTCTGCTCGATCACTGAGTATCTTAATAAAGGGCCTTTTTAGTGCTCTTGGCATTAGAAGTTTTGGGTTGAASTAGAACAGATGGAGAAAATGAGAAACCCTTTTATTTTCAGAATGTAAGGAACGTGGGTTAGGATTTAGGAGGAAGAATGTAAAATTTTTGATCTAGGACTGAAGTTGTTGAAGTTGTCAATCCCTTCTTGCCGTGCCTCATACTCACTGAAATGCCATGAAATATTAGCTGCTTTTACTAATACATGTAAAGCAAAAGAATGATCTCTGACTCTATAATAAAGTGCAATGCCATCACTCTCTAACTTCACAAAAGGCTGAAAAATGACAACAACTCATAAACCACAAAATTGAAGCTTCCATGCAACCTAGGTTTTCCATAGTTTGAATTTGTGGTAGTGTAAATTTCAAAATCAYGGCAGAAGCTTGTAATATACAGAAGAAATMTTTTAAGCATTCCCACAGTTACAAGATCTCTCTTCTTAAAGTTGTGAATTGTTAGGATTGTTTAAAAGGAGTAACTTTTTTAAAACAACATGTTTGTTGTGATTAACATTCACCAGTTAAAAAAAAAGTAGTGAGTTTCAGTGTTATAACAATGATTTTGTGCTTGATTAAGCAGACTATACCTGTATTTTTATAAGAAAGGTATGATGTTTATTGGAGGAATTCTATGTGTTGGAGATGCTTTTTCTACTCATTGAGCTGCTTGTAAGTAAAGATCACGTTGCTCTCCCTCCACAGAAGAAACTCTGTGTGTTTGTAGGGTGCATACACCCAGCTGTGGCAGAGATCAGGTATTCAAGGGCTTGACTTGAATGTATCAGCCTGGGAATATCCAGAAATCCTTGACAACAAAGTTGCTCTCCCTGGAGTTAAAACTCTGGCAGGATGCCTGTAATGTCTTTATTGGTGACCTAGAGGACATGGCAGATTGCAGTTCTAGTTTTTCACATGACACCAAGCTGGATGGGACTAGTTGGTACATGCAGGAGCATTTTTATATATATGTTGATATACCTGAATGYTTATTTTGATAAGCCATTTGCTTTGCCTGTATTTATATGCATAGAAGATAGAAGAAAATCCAAGCATCTGGAAGAGTATTTTYATCTTTTCAGTGATATCATCAGGTCTTAATAAATGATTATTACCTCTGACTACAAATCTTGCCCACGTATGTCCTAATTATTTCAGAAGGTGAATGATAAAGGCTTGAGTTTCTGGTTCAGGCCAGTTCTACTGCTGTTGGTTCATTTATTCATTATAGCCGTAAAATCAATTCATAGTGGCATAAGGGGAATTTTGATAGTGGCTGTGAGACTCCTTAACATGCAGGATTGTGTTTGGATTGTAACATTATATAAARATTTAAATTGCTCGTTTTTACATTATATATGCCAATATACCCGAATGCTTATTTTGATAAGTCAGTTTCTTTACGTGTATTTATATGCAAAATGGGTAGGTCAGGCCTGAACCTTTGGCTTGCAGCTTGAGCACCTACATCAGGAATTTGAGTGATATTATTGTGTTCTTTTTTTAGTGTAGGGAATAAGAGGAGTAGCAATCCGCTCTGTGCATGAAATCTTGTGAAGGAGAGGGCAAGAAGCAAATACTGAGAATATACTGAATTTGTTTTTCTTTTCCTTCCTCCTTCTAAATGTTCATATTTTTGTGCTGAAGTAGCCTGGGGGAAAAAAAAAAAAGTCTTGGACATAGTTTATAGGGAAGGTGGCCTTCACAGTCCTGCTTATGGCATCATACTCTGGCAAGTCTTTGGGAATTGTAAACTCCTACAAGTTCCTTTGGGAACTCTGTATCCTATTCTGTGTACTTAAATTTCTTCAGTCTCTTCAGAGGCCAAGATACTGGCTCTCCTGCAGATGCTGGTGAARGGGAAAAGAGCCCCTGTTGCCAGCTGTGGCAGAGATCAGGTATTCAAGGACTTGTCTGGGAAGCATCAGCCGAGGAATATCCAGAAATCCTTAACAAGCAAGTTGCTGTCCCTGGAGGAGGAACTCTGGCAGGATGCCTGTAATGCCTTTATTGGTGACCTGGAGGATATGGCAGAGCGCAGTGTGGAGTTTTCAGATGACAAGCAGTTTGTACGTGCAGGGGCAAGGCTCAGAGGGAGCTCGCCAGGCTGCAGGACAGGGTGACAGGGAACTCATGGAGGTCACCAAGGACAAATGAACACTGTGTACATCAGGAGGGCTTACCCCCTTGCACAGATGTTTACTGGGGACCTTCTCTGCTCAGAAGGACRTGGGAGCCTTGGCAGACAGCAAGCTCAGTGTGAGGCAGTGACAATGGCTGGCTGCCTTCTGGGAGCTATTAACAGGAGCATAGTCCATAGACAGATGAAAGAGATTTATCCCCTTTACTCAGCTCTCATTAGACTGCATCTGGCATAACATTTACCCAATTGTGTCCCCTCAGTAAAAAGAAGGCAGGTATCGGAGCAAGTCCAGCTACAGATCCCCAGGCTAAGCAGGGAGCTGGAGCACTTCCCTTTGGGGGAACCTGGTATCAGCCCCCCARTATGGTTGTGAAGCCCAATATGGGCTTATTCTGGGCAATTATCCTTTGAGATTGGGGGGTTTTACCCTGCCAGCAGAATACACATTAAGAAGCTAAATATTCTGGAAGACAAGAACTATGAGACATATAGTCAGAGGGGAAACAGAGAATGAAGGTATAGGAAACATTTAGTAATTGTGTAAGTGAGMAAAGGAACTGAGAATCCTGACCTATCGAAAAAGTGTGATTTTCTAGGTGACTGCTCATGGCATTTGTCCTATATTGGAGGTTCATTTTTCAGAAAAGATTTGATTTTTACTTCTGCATGTTCTTGTGCAGTTTTGTGAAAAGTTACAGCATTCAGAAATTCTAAGAATTATATTTTGTAACTATTAATTGCTGTAGAAATGTTCACGAAGTGGAAAGGGACATATTGAAAAAAAGTCCTGATTATATCTTTCTTTTTCTCTTAAGAATTCAGAAAGAACTTGCAGAAATTACATTAGACCCTCCTCCRAACTGCAGGTAAGTTCACCTGKATTTTATTAATTTGGAATATGGAAATGAAATGTATGGAGCTGTGGAAATTGCATAGGGGACTGGAATAAATTTTAGCTATTCCTTTATGCTGATTATTTAGTAATTTTGCAATAAGAACTGATAGATAGTATATTGCCTACATGTCAGGAATTGATATGACATACTTTCTGGTAACCAAAGTAATGGCATGAATGGATGAATTCTATGATGCATTGAAAGATACAGGACAAATATCAAATCACCCTTCGTCTGMGATATTAAATCAATAGTATTTTGTTTGATTCTGTAAAATGTAATCTTGGTGGAAGTTGCTTGGTGTATTTGATTCCTTTTTCTTGCAAATTGTTAACACACTATGAGTATAATGGAGAAAGGACAATGTTATAGGCACAACCTGTTAGTAGTTTTCTGACTGTGTTTGTGGCAATCAATTGCAATATTCAGTGGACACTTACTGAATTAGAGTATATCATCATATAGACTTTCTGATAATGACTATGTGCTTGTTTTGGTTTAGGTTTTTTGTTTTGTTGCGGGTTTGTGTGGGTTTTTTTGTTTGTTTTGGTTTTTTGGTACTTTTGTTGAGTTTTTTTTTTTGTCGGTTGTGTTTACTTCTGGTTTGTTTAAAATTGGCTTTGAAATGAATGATGAGGTAGACCTTGAAACCCTCGCTGTCTGGTGGCTGGGGCTGTATACAGTTGTTTTCAGATGGCTGTCTCAGGSTTCTTATCTGTCAGCTTGACATATGGTCAGTGTTGGAGATGGGCCAGCATTGCTGTTTAAAGGAGTTCCTGCCACTGCACCTCTTGTGGTGAGAGGCTGAGCTCGGTGCAGAAGAATAGTTTCCACCCAGTCCTTCCAGCCCATTTCAACTGATGTGGTTAGCAGGTTTCATTCTGGTAATGCACTAAAGARAAAGATTGATAGAAATAGCTGATTGCATGCAGCTTTTATAATGAATCCCAGTATGYTTCAGTATCGAATTAACTAAGCAACTGGTAGTAAAAATGACAGTCAACTTTATTGTTCTGGCCTCTCGACAAAAGTATGTGTAAGGAAATATTCTAACAAGGTTTGATGTGGTTGTGCTGGATCTCAAAGATAWAAGTCAAGTGGCTGTGTACCMAAGCGCTGCTCAGTGAAGTAGCCTYGCAATAATGGTATTCAAAGAGTATTTCAGTCAATTAGGACGAACAGTTTTTTGCTAGATAAAACATTTTAATAGCTAAGCTGTTCTGTCATGCTTACGACTGTGTGCGAGTCTTCAATCACATCAAAGCTGTTTCATGTGGCAGATTTTACTTCGGTGTTGATGACTGATGCCTATTAGTGGATTGATCTGCTGAGATGAATATGAAACTTCAGTCTGTTGTAGAAGAATGCTTAAGTCTTTGAACTGAGAGGAAAAGGCTTACAGTTTTTACAGCAGTGTCATTTTTTCTGGTTGTCTGAAGCCTTCTCTTTATAACAAAGCAGTTGTTTCAGTATACAAGATACTATTACATTTGATTTTTTTTTTTGTTAGCAAGTGTAAAGTAAGCATAGGCTGTCTTAGTGAAAAGCCCTTTGGTGACTTGCAATTTGAAAAAAAACAAGTGAGCTGRGTTTGCTGAATTATTTACACTAATGATAAAATAGCAATAAAGTGCACTCCATGATGCTGTTTTGCAAAATCACAAAATTACATCTAACTTCATGTGTCTGCTGCTTTAGCACAGTTCTTAAGATGCAGAATTACTTCATGTTGTGATCTTGATAGATAACCATTAGTAACTTTACTATTAGCAAATATGCTTTTATAGTCAATACAGAATCACTTCATTTAGTTTTATGCTTTGTTGACATAGTCTAAACAGTGTTTTCATTTGGACTTCCATCTATTTTCTATTATAGTTAAACATTACAAAATAAATACATCAACCAGGCATGGTTCTTCAGAATAATGAAGAAAACTGAGCTATTGTACAGTATATCTTACCCTAAAGCATTGATACATCTTTTGTTGTTTTTAGTGAAATTTAGGTCATTGTTAAAAGACATGTTCGATTTTTCTATTAAAAAACCCAATCATATTTCATAAAGAAAAGTTCATTCCAGATGTAGTCCACTTGAAATGGTTGTGATTCCATCCTGCCTTCACTGTGTGTGTTCTTTCATTATATGAAATAAATCATGACTGGGGAATAGGAATGTGATAATTCTCAAAACTCARTGTCATAAAAGACTTGAAGAAAGCTGTACTCTTGAATAATACTGTCTTAAGCAGCTACTTAGGAAGTTCTGATAGGAAGRCTACTGAGCTGATTTGGGACTCAGGTGGAATATTGCATAATTTGCAAAGCTTTCCATTAACTTCAGCAGGCCAAAKCTTTAGACTTCTCCCACTCAGGAAATAAAAACCCAAATGGAATCATCTCTGTAGCACAGTAGCACCCCTCAATCTCATGGTAGGCTACACAGTCCCTATGAGCTCCAAGGCAGCTGCAGCTTCCACTGCTGCAGCTTCCACTGCTGCAGCAGCTGAGACGTGAACATTTCCCTCATCTCACTCCCATGAAGAGAATAGATTGTATAATCTTCATGTGTATCTGGAAGACAAAATAAGTCTTGCTCCCAAATGTGTCCTGGAATTGGCAGATTATCACTGCTGGGACTTGCWGCATCTTTCCAAAACTGTGGAAAGCTGTGAGTTTCAGAGTTCCAAAAAAAATCTGTCACTTCTGGCTTTGAAAGAAGATGTAATAATGTGCGAAATAAGAGTTGTCTGCCTCCCTCGGTGCTCATATTCTATAGTTTGAGTACTGGGCAATGGACAGTCTGCCAGGCTCCACAAACTTTGGCTTCTTCCTTGAGAATGGATAATGTTCTAAGTGTAAAAAAAGTCAGGCTGAGGATGAGGGTTGTGGGAGTTGAGCAGTGTAATCATTGCTATTTTTGGAGGAAGGCATGTCATAAAAAAGCCTGTYATACTTCACATTTAACAGAAAGAACTGGATGGTTTTCAGTATGTGTTTGTCCCTTCCCTCCCCCTGTTTTACTTYTGTATTGAGCTGAATTTACTGTCAAGGACAGTCCTGAATTCGAAGCAGGTACGTTTATGTTTCAAATCTGCAGCATTGTGAAATTTCAATTTGTCAGGAGACATTATACCTAAATTGTAGACATTTACCACTCTTATCTTTTTTTTCCCTCTCATTGAAATATCAAATCTTGATTGCTAGAAATGGCACACATATTATACTTCTGAGTAGTGCAGAATATAGCTTTTCTCACAGGTGATAAAATCCTCATATTTAAGTGTCATTTTCCTATATTGCCTTGCTGAAAGAGGGGAAGAGTTGGAAATTCTTGTAGCTAAAATAATGCCTTTTCAAACTTTCCCATATTTTGGGCTGCATTGTGTATAAGACAAAAGATTTCATAGAATACAACTTGATGTATACCATTTCTCTACTCACTGCCAAGAGAACAACATCTCTGCGGCAACTTATACCAAATACTTACAAGGGAAAATGATTTTTGGAAAGTATTTGAAGTATTTTTAGCTTCTTTCAATGTGAACTTAGCAGCTGGAAACAAGGAGAGCCAGCATGAAGTGAATAGCAGCTCTCTGTGGACGCCACTTGGAGCAACTGCTCAAAATTTTCTTATTAAGTCAATGATATTGCCTGTCTTCCCCTTCAAGTTTCTTTTGGTGTTCTCTAGTGTACTTTTCACCATTCTTCTCTTTTCTATGTATTTACTGCAATTTGTTATGTTTTTTGCATTTCATTTATTTTAGCTTATAGCAATATGGGTAATGTTTGAGGCTCAGAAATATGCTGTAAAGGATTGTGCAGCTTAGTCGGCAAATTTACTCTCATTCCAAAACAATCAGTTTTAAACCCTGTGTGTAGTCTTGTCTCTTCCATTTGTTTGGAATCATTACATTAATTCCATGCTTTTTATACTGTCTGGAAAATTCATAAGCAACCAATCTATGTGATTCTAGTATTTTGCTTGTAAAAAGTGTTTTTCTTGTGAAAAGCAATCACACTGATAAAACAGTTCTTTTTGGGATGATATTAACAAGGTGGAATGGCAAATTTTTTAATTTAGCTTAGGGAGAGAGGTCAGTGTGCCTCATGGATATATCCTGAGCTATTAATGACTGTATGGAGTCCAATATTTCTGTTTAATAGTGCATAGACTCAGTTTTTGCTGAAACTCCAAGGAACTGTGTGAATTTCAGCAATTTCAGTTACTGTTCTCAGGGCCACCTGTTTAAACTCCTACCTAGTGCTGGTTTAARGAGATGGCACGAGTGTCAGGAGGAGAAAACAAATATGAGCACAATATCAGGGAAGGACTGTGAGGGAGAAGATGGTCGGCCTTGCTCTAAAATGCAGAGGGAAAGAAGTGAAGGGACCTGGAGCAGCAGGTACAGCAAGTATCCACCCTGCAATTGTGCTCAGTGATTTTGATTGTTTGACTAAGGAGGCATCAGTCTGTTGCCAGAGGCACATGGCTGTGATGCATGTGATGCTAATGTGTGAGCAGGATGAAAAGCAGTAAGAAGTGCTTTCTCTGAACATTTTTCTTTGCAAACATTTCCAGCCTGAATTCAGGCTCCCTTGCCATTGTGTTATTCATGGAATTTACCTTCTGYCTGTATAGGCTTATTTTGATCTGCTAGTCCTCTATAACCTTCTCACAAAAAAAAATGTGACACAGAACATTGCGTATACCTTTGCCTGGTCTCTTCAGAATTTACAGCAAATAGCAAAACTTAATCAAAAAGATAAGCATAGAAGTGGCTGATACTGGGTRCAGGATCCTGTTGGTTTTAAATCCATGATGTTTCAACAACTGAGGATAAGGATGGCTGAAAAATTTATTTGAGTACTCACTCCAACTGCTKTACTTTTTAGTTCCTTTCTGCTTCCAAAGCAGCAAGAAACATGTCCTGAAGATATGCAAGTTAACAATCRCACTGGGATTATATT